CTAAGAAATAGCGTCAATATTGAAAAAAATGCTCAAAACTGATCGATACGTAATTGTGATGATTTCATTTGTTAATATACTGAAGGCATCTGCGTAACTGAGTTGTGTACAAACTGATCATTTGAGGCTCTGAACGAGTATACCTCTGCTATCGATCGCTCTTTTACAGACCCGCTCAAAACGATATAATCTAATGAGGATGTTACATGTTTTGAGCCGTTAGGTCTAGTACTATATAGGCGACTGTTTCGTCCTATTGAGACTCATCAGTAGCACTCTCGCTCGGTTCAGCCGAACTTCTGAGGCTATTTAATCCTATAAGAAAATCGAAGTGCCGGTCACTACAAAGTCAGATAATTCTATCATCTAACCTAGGGTGATATTTTTTACTCGGCGTCGATTCCCTTATAGAGGAATATTTTGCCTCAGGGGTTCGACTGGACCAAAGGAGGGTGCTAGTGATGAGTCCCAAAAGGACGCAATAGGCGCCTATATAGCACCAGACTTGACGGCTCAAAACATATCATGCCTTGCCAGATTATATCGCTCTGAAGAAGGTGGTACAGTTGAGACATTCAGACATTGGCTGTTAGAAAAAATTTTATTATCAAGACCTCGTTTCAGCTTACAAAGAAAAAATATGAGTGTCATCGAAAATCGCCAAGTTTACTCGATAGCCGGTAGTGGGATTGATGCTACCTATGGCTTTTAGTTAGTGCTTTGAGGTGTTTTATGATTCTTCGCGAGTTTGCTGCTGTAACAAAGGATGTCTTCGTAACACCTACAGTTTCTAGATGTCGATCCAACAAAGCCCCAGAACTGCATCGTTGGTAGCACGGTGACGGGAATTTGCACTGTGAAGGATAGAAACAACAAGTGCGATACAACTATGCCGGGTGCTGTAGCGGCTATTCCCGTCAATCACACGTCAATTTCAGGAACCCTATCGATTTGTATTATAGTCTTCTCTTTTAAAACCGTTATTTGAAAAAGAATTTGTGTAGACTACGAATATCATCATGGCGAATTGGTCGTGACAGATGTGGCAAAACATACTAAATCGTGCGGTTCGAGTGTTGATATTGGGTCCATTTGGATCTCATTTCTTCTCGGCATTTGCCATTGTCGGCGGAAGATAAACTGTGATGTAATTGAGACAAATATTTTCATTTACTCGATAGCATTTGTAACAATAAGACTGCAAATAAACTGTCAATTCGCGTAGATACTGATGAGTCAGGTTGCTGTAATGAACTATATTATATTATCTGGTCTTCTCACAAGTTTAGGCACTAGAGCAATGAGCAAATATTTATAAATCAGAAGTAATTAAAACTACTTTTTAACACTATTCAAAGTATTGGCCATGAGCCTGAATATACTTCTGTTATTCTTAGACAACAAAAAAGTTGTCAATCCTCGACACAAATGATTAAACTCTCAAGAAATTTTTTTTCTGCGGAAGGCTTTAGCGATCGGAAGAGTTGATAGTTAAACGTCAACAAGTCAGCGCTGTACGGTGGATGATCCAGCCACTTCAAGCCCAGTTCTCCTAACTTCATCTTTGCCAATCTGACGACGTGCAGCCTTGTGTTGTTATGAAGCAAGATGAAGTTGTGGAAAACGTCGACGTCGCAGGGCCCTACTGCAGCAGTCCAGTGCTCACGGTAACGCTTGGCATTGATCGTCTATCCTGCTGGAAACAAGTCTCAGTGACTCAGCCCGATCCGGTCTCAAAAGGTGATGATCATCGCTTTTAGCGTAAAACAATGTGAGCGTGGAGTTGATGTTCACTGTTGGCCTAGTTAAAAACCAATGGTTCGAGCGACAATGTCTCTGGAAAAATCCACTTTTTGTCGACGATGATGACCTTTACCAGATATCTGTTAGGCTGATGGCATATACATTATACAGTGTTGCTAAGTAATCTTAATTTCTTCTTGTTAATAAATTTGATGCTATTGCTCTAGTACCTAAACTTATGAATCCTGATACATGAAATTTTTTGCTTTGTTACTTTTAGGGGGAGCGGCTGAGTAACTGATAAAGCACAACACATTTGATCCTTCACCCCACCTCTCTCACACTTTACGGTAGCCAATAATGGACGCCTAGTTAATGTCCTAACCTACCTATCGTCAAGATTGCAAGAAAAAGTACTCGATCACTTTTTGTTTCGAGTGTTTCAAGACCACGCTCAAATTTCAACATGCCTAATAAATTTGAAACCTTCACGTTTCAGTACAACTCATATTTCAAAAGTAATCAAGTGTGCGACACTACCGATCTAGTCATTTATTTCATTTAACGGCAATTGTGTATATCGTTTATCGCCGCCTACCCTAAGTAGAAGGACTTAAGTACCCCGATTTGAGATACCTACGATTATGACAGCGCGGAGGTCAGCGGCACGACCCTCATGTTCGAACATAGCAAACACCTCAAAAGCAGAATTTCCGTTTGCTGGCGGAAGTCATGTAGAGGTTTCAAATGAAAATGCGTGAACTCATACAAGCAGCATCGAAATTTGTCAGCAAAGTGTTCATAGATTGAGAGGTCCACTCAAGGCATTAGAAAAGCCCTAACTTGCCGCTCGCATTACAGTACGCATCACAGGAGCTCTAGCTGTGTTTGCACTCGTTGGAAATTAGCAATCTGAGCACTTGCACCAGATACAGAAGAGAACATCCTCTGTCTTTGAGGGAACATATAAATCTAACATTTTTTCGAGAAAAAAAAAGACCCTGTCAAAAGTGGAAGGATTGTCATGGCGAAACTGTTCGCCGTGCAGCACTTAATTCAAACGTTACATAACTCCTTATTCAACTTGACTCAGCGTTGATGATGTTTTTGTGGAGAGGTGGTGGTCCTACAACATTGACGTAGTTCTCAATTCGTAATATATGAGAACGGAAGACAATACACTCCTGATAACATATTTCAAGCCTTTCATGAGGTCTGTTATGGTGCATACACAGTGCAAGACATGTGCTTTGGTATTACAGCCTCGTTAGTTTCACGGTCACTTTTGGTCCAGTCATTGCGAGGAGAAACTTCGTACTTGTAGGAACCTACGCTGAGATACTTGCATTTGCCGCAAGGTGAATTCGCCCAACGTGTCTTTAACTACAAACCTCGTGAATGGCTCAAAATGTATGATCAAATTATATTGTTTTGAGGGGGTTCAAAGCAGTCTAAAAAGAAGGTATGACCATCATGTATTACCACCACGAGCAATCGAGTGTGCGACACTGCCCTCTAGATGAATTTATAAATTTGCGGTAAATGTAGCTATTTTGACGTCGCTTCCCCTATGTAGGGGTACCTCCAGCAAAAAGCCTACTAAGTCGGAAGGCATCGTGTAACTGACCAGGCTGTAATGCCTAAACATGCATCTTGTACTGTGTAAATGCCATAGCAGACCTCATCAAAGGCTAGAAATACTTCATTAAAGTAACCGGAGCTGGACGAATACAATTTCCAATTATTGAAACTTCATTCCGTTGACGTTTCGCGCTAACATGCTCTTGATTTTTGTCAATCAGTCTTCATTTCAAAGCTTTTATCATAGAAGTGCACATGCAAGATAGGCAGTTTGTGGATTACGATATTTGACTATTGGAAGAGTCACAATATCACTCCGCATCACCACAAATAAGAAGAGGGAAGCTAACTTTAAGCCGTGTCATCTAGGAAATCGAAGCATTCACTAAAACTTCCTTTTGATTGAACTCATCATCAGGAAGAGTCATACCTCCCAACACGGAGACCTTGACTTTTCTGGCACCTCTTCTAACCTAGTTTGACTCCCAGGGCTTTCGCTTGCGTTGCGGGTGGTTATCTTTTTATCTGAGGCTGATCTATGCAATTTAATTAATAAGTCTTCGAATTTCCTGCGTAAGGTCATTTTGGCTTTTGACCATGTATAATCACTGATCAAGTCGATTCACGTACGATTCGCTCTCATAGGCGTCCCTTCAAGTATTGGCCATAGTGATATTCTTTGGAAATGCACTTCCTCAATTGAGCATACATTGTGCCTTGTTCGCATCGAAAAGATTCGCAGCAGTCGCATCTCGATGTACAATATTCGGTGATTGTCTTCTGGCAGGTCGCCTATTTCATAAAGTCACTTTCGTTTGATAAAGCTCGGGACGACTTGATACCTAATGAAGCGACGAAGGAAGTGAATCGCTTGTTCTGCTAAGACAATCATTTATCTTAATGACAGGACCTCCTTAACTGGTCAGGAATTTCTTACTGATACTTGTTGAAGCATATCCCATGACCGACTATCGATGAACTTTAGCATTGATTGAAATATTCCGTGATTATCTTTGTTTCAGCAAACACGAGGCTGTTGATACACGTTTATTTCGTACAAATCAGTACAACAGAGATCGTATCGGTGGCTGACGTTTTCTGCAGTCACGCCTTCCTCCTTAGAGCCTGAAAAAGCCCACCTGACCTATACCAACTTAATCTAACACTTCCATAACCAAAGCAGAAAGAAAGAAAAGAGAACAAAAAACAGACAAACAAACAAGCATTTAAGCAATTTTCAAGCGTAATATAATCAGTTACATTTGACTCACTGCTTTGTTGTTATGCTATTATATCAAAACGGAGGTCAAATCTAGTTGATTATTTTACGCTTCAAAATTGCTTGAATATTTGTTTGCGTGTTGTTTTTCTTCTCTTTTTTCTGCTTTGGTTATGAAAGTGTTTGACTAAGTTGGTGCAGCATATATGCGCACGAGGATTGAGTGGTGAGCAAAAACACGGCCTCAAGGGCAATTCTTAATTCTCTTAGGTATATATGAAACATAATAACACTGCGGAAATACACTAAAAAAACTAAAAATTTCGAGTAATAGTTATTACAATGTCTGTCAACTCAACGGGGTTTATGCAAAATCGCGTGTCCTATCAAACCTGATAAAGGTTGTTGGCCGATGGTTAACACAGAGATGTTGAAGAATGAGTGGTTGCGCATATGTGCCTCGGTGGTGTAATGGTAGTAGCACGCGTCCCGGTATGGACAAAACGCGGGTTAGATTCCCGCCTGAAGTCGTGTTTTTGCTCACCACTCATTCTTTTAGTTATATACGAAACATATTAACACTGTGAAAGATGCAGTAAAAATACTGGAAACTTTAAGTTGGTGTAGGTCAGCTGGACTTTTCAGGCTCTGAAGAAAGCGAGACTGTCCGAAACTTTAGCCACCGAAAGATCTCTATTGTACTACTTTGTATAATATAAAAGTGTATTAACAGACTCGTGTTTGTTGAAAAGATAATCACATAATATTTCATGCAATGCGAGGTTAATCGATAGTCGATCTTGGGAATTGCTCCAAAAAATTCTCTATCAGTGGGGCTGGCAAAGAAATAGATACTTTTCCGATATCTGCTCTCCGTTTCGACCCCTTGTAAGAAAACTTATTTCTCAGTCAGTTTGAATGTCCAAGTGATCTTTGATAGCACAAATCAGAAAAATTTTAGCGGTATATCTATGAAAAATATTTCATATTGCGATAAGAGAGCAAAAATAAAAAAAATAGTTTCTCATTTGAAGGTTTTTCGCCAATCAAAACTTTAATTTCGAAGTTTTAGTAGCCAATCAATAGACCAAATTTTATGAATTGTAATGATTCATTTGGTTTTCATAGTCGACTTGGTATTACGCTGTAGCAGCCAAAAGAAGACTGGGTTTCTCATAAAAAATGAACTACTTCAACTATCCTCTCCTCACTTGTATCCATTGGTATAGTGGTTCTGGCCCGCTCCTCTCCTTTAAACGCCACGCGGGTCTTAAGAAATTTGTTGCCCGTTCTTCTGCGGACACGTGATTCATTTAACCTTTCCAATAAACAACGGTGAACAATTAAAGGATTGTTGGTGATCTCCAGTTATACGAAGAACCTATTAACAGAAATATTACAATAACAATATTGAACAATATATACACATTCACGATGCGATCTCACATATAGATTGCATAAACTATGTCTTCTGGTGCGACAATAGATCAAGATTCAGCAATTCTACTCGAGAGTAATGATAAGTTCGGTCCGATATTACTCGACTGATTGAAGCTAAAGGATGACACAAAAGAAAAGCGACCACACGAGGTGAAGAGAATAGCAAAACAAGACGGATAGAGACCTAGAGGGGCCGGCGTCGATGCTGAGTCATCGTTCTCAAACTTTCTGTAAGTACTGTAGTGGCCCTGGGGCGCGATCACCTTACATGGAGCACGGACGTGTTGATGTTTCTCGTGGTCTTCGTAAGTCCACCGAGGGGAGCGTCCAGTGGGTCGTCGGAATTGAAGGCCGGGGGTACAAAGGGGGTGATTAAATATGGGATTGTGCGCTTTACTCTTGGTGGCGAATTCCGCGTGCCTTGTTGTAAAGTTCCGTCATCTGGTGATCGCCTCCGCCGCCTCCCAGCAAAAACCGCAATTTGACGATCACTCAGTTCTCGGTGCCGATGTTACAATAGTATCAGACAGTATCTCGACTCCACAGAAAGACAACGATCTACATGTGATCACCCTAACTCCTCATATGTCTTCTCCGCGGCGCAACCAGGATAGTTTAGCTCAAACTCCCACACTACGACTTCTAAGCGATTAACCTTGTCAAGGCGGCAGTCACGGGCTGAAAGGTTTGAAATAGCTACAAAGTCTTGCGGGAGCTGCTATAATTGAGGAAGAAGCATTTTTTGATCGCTTCAAATGCTTAAGTAATTAATCGATAGCTTAAATCAAAATAATTTGAAAGTGTATCCCATTTTTAAAAAGGCCTTGCCCCTTATTCTAAGATTTGTCCCTAGCCCAAGCCTTTCTCCTATAGCCTCAACAATCGAGCAAGAAATCAAATTTCAGGAGCTCCAACAATTTTTTGACTTCTTGAACGTACCTCTTAGTGGTTCTTAAGAAGTATGAGAAAATTGCTTGTCGCACTCGGCGTTTTTTCCCAGTTTTGCGAGACCCAATATTCTCTTGGCTATTGCAACGTGATGTGAGGTCCATAATCAAAATTAAGCAAGTTATTGGAATCCTTAAGATCTAATCTATCGATTGCTTACTGAAACTCCAAAAGGGAAGCTTTGGTCAGCGAGAAAATTTCGGATAGGGAAAAAAAATTATTTTTGCTCTTTCAGCGCAATAAAAGGGCCTTCCAGTCCGGTGCCCACCGTTGATAGGCAGGGGGCGTCGCAAGGTCGCGCTCGCGGCACTCGCTGGCCTGTACATATGCGTCTCTGTGCGAAACTGCCGTTGTGCTTGCGCTCTCTTGCAGCAAGCGGCTTTATTTCACGCCGCCGTCTCGGTAGGTGACTAAGACCGTGGGAGAATTGAGAGTGACAAGAAAGGCAGAGGAGAGTACGCTATGGGTATGGATAACACTTACTAGAAAGCTGTCACTATAACTATCACCATCACTTTCACTAATATTATCACTATCACTACCATTATCTATATGACTAAGAGATTGAGTGGTGAACAAAGACACAGCCTCAGGCGAGAATCGAACCCACGTTTTATCCTATCCGGGGACGCGTGCTCTACCACTACACCACTGAGGCACATTTGCGCCACCACTCATTCTTCAACATTGCAATGTTACCCATCATCCACCAACCTTTGACAGGTTTGGTCGGGTATGCGATTTCGCTTTGTAAATTCAGTTGAGCTGAAAGCTATTCTAATTACTAATACTTCGAAATTATAGTATTTCACTGCTTTTTTTTTCATTGCATACCCGACCAAACCTGTCAAAGGTTGATGGCTGATAGCTAACATTGAGATGTTGAAGAATGAGTGGTCCGGCAAATGTGTCTCAGTGGTGTAGTGGTAGAGCACGCGTCCCCGGAGAGGATGAAACGTGGATTCGATTCCCGGCTGAGGCCGTGTTTTTGTTCACCACTCAATCTCTTAGTCATATAAGTAACATAATAACACTGCGAAAAAAAGCAGTGAAAATACTATAATTCCGAAGTACTACCATTATCATTGTCACTATCACTGTCATTATCAGTATCACCATTATCAATGATATCATTATCACTATCATCACTAACACTATCACAACTATCACTATCACCACTATCACTATCACTATGACCACTATCACTCTGACTTTCACTACTATCACTATCATCATTATCATTGTTCTCATTATCACACCTTATCACCATCATTGCTTTCACTAATCACTATCTCTATCATCATAGTCACATCACCATTATCACCTTCGCTATCGTTTTCACTATAATTATCATTATCATTTTCATTACCATTATCATTGCCACTATCATCAATCTGATAAGGATATGCATATTTTGAGCCATAGGTCTAGTGCTATATAGGCGCCTATTTCGTCCTATTGGGACTCATCAGTAGCACCCTCCCTCGGTTCCGTCGATCCCTTGAGGTGAAACAATCCTCCAAAGGAACCGACGCCGAGTAAAATTAAGCACCCAAAGTAGGATGATGTTATTACCTGACTTTGTGGTGACCGGCAGTCGAGCTTACGGCTTTTAGAATGAACTATACTTCTGCTATCGACTGCTTTTTTACAGACCCGCTCAAAATGATTTAATCTGATAAGGATATGCATATTTAAGATAGTCAGGTAATAACATCATCCTACTTTGGGTGCTTAATTTTACTCGGCGTCGGTTCCTTTGAAGGATTGTTTCACCTCAAGGGATTGACGGAACCGAGGGAGGGTGCTACTGATGAGTCCCAATAGGACGAAATAGGCGCCTATATAGCACTAGACCTATGGCTCAAAATATGCATATCCTTATCAGATTAAATGAGCAGTTCGTCAAGAATAGTGTTGCTTGTTGCATGCGATCTCACTTTATTGACAATTCTTGATATTTTTGATTATGAGTGCAGTTCAGATTCCCATTTCTTAAATCAATGCATATTTCGTTTGAACTCTCTAGTCATAGCTATGGTATGCAAATAAGAGATGAGGGTGCAGCGGTATCTTCTTTCCACCCTGTTTGTACTTTTTGGTAGATGCGTATAAAACGCTTTAGTAGTCAGTCAGTAGCTAAACTTAAGTGAATTTGAACTTATGTTGATCTTCGAATGCTCTGTTTTATTCGTTTGTGACAGTCGAAAAAATATTTTGTTTCACATTCAAGCATTTCTCGCCGGGTAAAGCTTTTTTCATGACCAGTTGATAATCATTAGAATAAAAAAATCTTAGGGATTTCAAATGTATATTTGATTTTAATAAAGGGCTTCTCAGAGTGTTGTAATGGGCAAAAGAAAATTAGATTTCGCAAATTTGAAATTTCCAATGTCCGCAACCTGTTCAAAATGTCTATAAGAAAAAACGCGTTTACTGATTTTGTCAGAGATATATTAACCACTCTATGAATTGAATTCTGGAAATTTTTGTGCTGTAATTCATTCTTGAAATGCTTCCCTTAATGCGCTCTAGCAGTAAAAGTCAAAATACTCTCACACTCAAGCATTTCTCACTGAAGTTAGCATTTCCGCTGGAGTTCTAATAATTCTTTGAATCTCGAAAATTTTCACAATGACCTCATCTTTGGAAAAAATTTTTTATTGTACTGTTGCAGTCGAAAGAAGATTACGTTTCGCAGTAAGCTGATATGTCGCTAAAGGGACGGTGACTTGAGGCCATTTTCGTGATATTCCACAGAGTGCGAAACAAAATTGTCTTCTTTTGGCTGCCACAGCTCACTGAGGAGTCCTCTTTGTAAATAAACTACGTTTTGAAATCTCTGAGATTTCTACTACCGAGTGGTTATTAATTGATCAGTTATCCGGCGACAAATACTCAAATGTGAAACAAAATTTTGTTTTGACTGTTACAGGGCAAAAAACATGCTATTTGCGAAACATAATGCACCACTTTAGTTCACTTGATTTCAGCTGTCGGATGAATACTAATAATCTTGTGGAATAGGTTTTCCTAGACTAATTCAAAGTCTCACAATCGCTATTCTTGAAATGCGATTGCATGTGGCAGGACTCGTTTTCAAAAGTAAAGATTTTCAAGACAGTTGAGCGTTATTCTTCTT